GCACGGCCTCTGAAGCACCAACTCCTTCCCCAACAAGGCAAGACACCGACGCTTCGCGCGAAGCGCCAGCGGTCCGTTGCCGGTCGGATCCTCGGGGCACTTGAGGCGTACGTTGCCCGGAGCCCACAGGAACAAGGCGCAGAAGCCAGCTTGCGATGTTTCACGTCCTGGCCGTCTTCGTCCCGCCGTCCGCGCGGTGAATGGCCGTCCGCGGCAGGCCACGCACGACGGTCCGCGGTCCTTGTGGGAAGAACTCCAATTGCAGTTCGGAGATGCAGCTTGCAGCGAAGGGATCAGACCTTCATAGCGGCACAGCTCCGCGCGGCGGGCGTTTGGCTGGAGAAGGTCGGTGACTTCAGGGGACGTGCTTGGCTTTTGATGTTCTTGGGTCCAATGCATTTTAACTTGCGGAATTAGATACCACATGCCAACAAGCATCTGTCCAACGTAAACGGGAAGAATGGATCGAACTCCGAACTACTCTGAGTCTCTGACCAAATACTTTGGCCACGTTCCACACTCCTGCGGCTTGAAGAAGCGTAATTAGTGTTTGAGAACACCAGTCTATTAGACTTTCTCATACTTTATAGCCGCTGATGTGCGGGACACCCTTCAGTCCACAATGTCAAACGCAGCTCTCTGGGATGTAAGTAAACCATCGTCGTCACGGTACAAACCGTTGGCCTCACATCTCGTTTGCAATTGTTGAGCTGCCATTCAGCCCGCCTCCGCCAGGGGTGCTTCAAAAAATTTCTGCCCACCAAACACGAGTCTCCAACCGTCGGCACCGGGTGCCTCGGGCACCTACTGTGCCGAAGACCGACGAGCACAAGGAGGTAGGTAGGAAATCACTCACTTTGTTGGAGCCTTGTTGGGGAGAATCTCAACATCAAACACATCACTTCCAGCACCGACTTCACGTCACCAATTGAGACCTCCAACAGGGCCCAACAACCTTCTACCAGTAGAGGAGACCTGTAGAGTCGGATGCTCATCAAATCCTTTTGAACACCCTCCGCACGCCTCACGAATGCGAAGTCAATGCCTCAGCTCATGTGGTATGCCCATCCTAGCCGTGTGCCAGCCGGCGAATGGAATGAAAACGCGTCCGAACCAAAGGGAACATGTCAAAAGAGCACATGTTGCCACCATCGATAGCTATTATAGTAGAGGAAGAAGTAGAAGTAGTAGTAGTAGCAGCAGCAGCAGTCGTTGTTGTTATTGTTGTTCTTGTTGTTCTTCTTGTTGTTGTTGTTGCTGTTGTTGTTGCTGTTGTTGTTGTGGTTGTTGTTGATTGTTGATTGTTGATTGTTGTTGCTGCTGCTGCTGGTGTTGCTGTTTGTTGTTGTTTGTTGTTGTTTGTTGTTGTTTGTTGTTGTTTGT